TAATCTCTAACTCAAACAAAGAAGACGAGTTCACATAGACACCGAAGGAGACAACGGTGATCTACAACTCAAACAAACAAACCCAATGTCCACAGAGATTCAAACCAAAGAAATGGTCACAGGGAAGCGGGACAGAGAGATCTTCAAAACAAACGAAACCCTTACAATGGAGGACGAACAATAGTTATGAAGAGAGAAGTTCAAATGAATTTCAAATCCCTAAAATGGAGAGAGAATAGGTTGATAACGACAGAAGTTACAGTTCGAAAATGAAGAGGTCACTTTCGGAATCCTAACTTTTGCCCCTCCAAATCAGATTTTTAATTACAAATAACATTCAAATTACGTCCACTTAAAAGTTGACACGTGGCGTTGTCAAATTTTTGTCAAATTTGCGTTGTTGGAATATCGCGATCCTTTTTATAAAGTACAGGACAAAATTAATACATACAAGTAAGGGCAAAATATAATTTTAATAATAATTTAGGGATGAAAAATGTATTTGACCAAAAAAAATACAATCTTAAGACAACATTTTTAATTTGATCATTTGTTTAAATTCCATTAATGTTTAAAATAATTAAACTCATGTTTGACCTATAGTATTGTAGCTTGTATTTATTAAATAAAGAAATAAAGTTAATATAAATTGGAGGGTTGAATATTAAGAGTAAGTATTAATTATATTTTTGGTCTTCCAATTTTCTTAAAAAATAAAAAGAAAAAATTGATAATTTTGTTTAATGCAATTAAGTTATTTAGTTTTTAAAAATGATCAAATTAAATTGTTTTTATTACATTTTGTTAAGTCATACCTGTATATATGTCACGTGTTAGCTTTATCATCTTATAGAGATAGATTTGTTGAATTTATATAGAGAAATCCATACAAATTTGCTAAATTTGGAGCCATTTCTACAAATGTTAGAAATTGAGAAAACAAAACCCATATAAATTTGTTTTTCCTTGAACTTTTGCAACTAAACTTATAGACCTAATTAAAATTCACATTTAGACTCATGTTTACTTTAGATTTTAATATATATATATATATATATATATATATTCTAAATGTGTTAAACAAAAATCATTTATAATTTTCAGGTTGTTTCTTAATCTCTTTTCACTCTAATGTTGTTTTTACTTCTTCTCTAAATTTCATTGTGTGACCATCAATAAATAACTAACTTTTCAAGATCAGTTCACATAATCAAGATCAAACAAGTTAAATGGAATTTTGCATTAATCGTTAAACGTTTTGAGTTTGATTTCTCTTCTATAATTTCATTTTGTACTTCATGATTATAATTTCCATTTCTAATTTTAGAAATGAATTGAATCTTGATAATTGAATATATATTAGATTGAATTACATTTGGATATAATTTGTATAACTAATTTAATTGATTAACTGAATTAGTTAATTGTTGAAATTAAATATAAATTTTTGAAGAACTGTGATAAAAAAGGATTATTTAGTTGGTGAATATGTGACTTGAATATTTATTCTCTTACTTATCATAATAGATATACATGTGGAGTTAAGGTTCCAAAGAATGTATGATTTATTTTTTATATACACATTGCTTTAAATTGTCATTGCAAGGTGCGGGAATGCTTACAAAAATAGTCTAGTTATAATATTTATCTATATAAATTTTCTTTGTAGAAGATTCAGTTGAACTTTTGAATTCTGAAATTTTGAAAAAAAAATAAGGATTTAAATAGTTTTTGGGTAACCAGGACTATATAGTTTAAGAATTTTTTTTTTTTTAAAATAGCTTTTATTTTCTTGATTTCCGAGATGAGAATAACAAAATATGTGTTCGATTTTAACTATTTTTAATATTTAAAAAATTATGAAATAATTTTATCAATTTTGAATAATAAGAATATATTTGTATTTGTATTAAAAATTTTATTAAATAACTTATGCTAAATGGTGATAAAATAATCTAACAATCATAATAGAATCCATCTTCTCCATCTCCACATCTTGATAAAGGGTGGTGATATTTTGAATCCTCTAAATAAAAACTTCTCACTTAACTACTCAAAATAATAATAATATTTTAATAACATTTATTTTACTTTTTAATTTAAAATTTCAATAATAAGGGAATTGTGAAGTGGTTCTATTTTATTTGAAGGATGTCAAAGTATTACTTTTCCTTGACATACTATAACCAACAGTAAAATACAATCCAGAACTCAAACATGTAACTTTTGGCTCAGAATCTGTAAGTTGTCATGTATAATTTTGTTCCATACTGTACGGCTCATAAGATTTTCTCTTAGCTTCTTTACCAAATTAAGTGCTTTATATAATTCATATATTAATTTGTAGCTTTTGAAAATCTTAAAGAGCTCATTTCAAGTGCCTCTCTTCTTTATGCTTTTGAAAACCTTAAGTACATATCATACTACAGCATATTAAATAAATTATCCCAGAAAAATAAAATCATAAGAAAATGTTGCATCCAACTGTTGCTTGAAAACTGCTTCCATTCCAACACAACTTCTGACGACCATTTTTTGTGTAAAATGCAACCTCCTCATTGACACCTGTGATATTACAACAGAATAATTAAAATGCTAGAACGAATAGAAAGCAACACCATCCTATAAAATGTGAACATCACAAAGACCAAAGGCGTAAGCATTTAAACAAAGGGAATGAAGTGGAATAAAATCCAGAGGTAAGCATGACATAATATTATAATATGCCTTTGATTAAAATGAAGTTCTCACATGGCCACCTATATTATTGTAAGCCACATAATAACATTTTCAGTTCCAAAGTCAATGACACCAACTTGAAATCACGACAGCAACAAAATCACTAGCATGAGTTGATACAAACAACCAAAAAAATGTTGCATGTTTCCCCTTCAAGCCTTATCATGTCAATGATAAATTAACATTATCAGTAGTTTGATTGAGGATTTTTCATGTAGGATACCATTACTTCCAAACTTCAAACTAACTAGTGAACAAATCAACCTTTCCCAATTTAATATTTTAATGGTTAAAAGATTGCAGGCCAAATTGATATCTTATGCAAAACTATTCATGTTTAGAGAGTAGGCTATATAGATAAGTCCACATGGCATGGTAAAATCCATCTTATTTTGATTATTCTACAATGACACAGCCATTATTTGTACATAATGGCCCTTAATAACCCTTTCTAGCAAAGGTTATGTGTGGTTTCTGATAGTGTCTTAGATTTTGGATATTAACCATCTCAAGGTGCTCGAGTCAAAATAGCTTAAAATAATTCATGCCATACAGGGAAATTCATTGCAATTTACCTAAACATCGTGTATTTACTTGAAAATAGTGTGATGTAGAGATATGGTGCAGATTTTAGTGATGCTCCAAAGGAGAACATTTTGTCTTTTATATAGGGGCTAAATACCTGACTTTCTTGAGCAAAATGGCTTTAAGTTTCCTAGCATAATCCTCAGATCGAAGCCTTCGCTCCAAGTTCTTTCGGGCTCAAACACGCTTCTCAGAGTTTTTGATGTGGAATCTTAATCCCACTTCCTTGCATCTTACGCTGCATCAATGCCAATGCCATTTCCAAGTTCCCATTTGTGACCCTCACTCGTATGCCTCTGCATTGCTGAAGCTGTTGCATTTGATTATGCCCAGTATTGAAGGGTTTTAGTTGTGAAACCTGAAGTTCTGAATAAGCTTGATAAATGCCTTGCCTAGGAGTTCATATCCTTGAGATACAAATGTGCTTACTCCTTCTCTTCCTTTTACAAGCACTAGTAAAAAGCAAGGAGAAAAAAAATATTCAATTAGAAAAAAAAAATCTAGTTGTATTGTTGTTGACACAGCACCATGAATAAAAAACGAGGTCAATTATATTTCTTTCATAATTTTTTTGGAACTTTTGAATATCTTGTTTTTGGGTGTCAACAAGGAGGACTGATTCAGTTTTGCAGAAGAAAACCCAAATCAATCCATTTGAATAGTTTTGGTTTCCTAAGTAAAAGAAGACCAAAACAGTATCAATTACGAAGACTATGGGCATAAACTTCAAGCCTGTGACTGAAAAGACATGACATAATAGAAACAATTACATCTGGATCTTTCAAAAGACATTACACAAGCAAGAAATCGAATCCAAGAATAGATGATATCATTACACATGTTGAAATTTTCCCAGGGCTTCACATATATTGAATAATTCATACCAAACTGTGCATCAGCCATGTAACTTCCAAATAGAAAAATATACAACTCCAACAACATGGCACAAAACCCACTTGCTAAGAGACCCAATATGAATGAGTTTCAGCGAATCAAAGGATCGAGGAAGAATCTGAAGCAGTTCGACCAAGAGAAAAACAAACCGTGGTACAAAAAAATATTTTTTTTTAATTTGTGTGCAACGGGAATTAGAAGAAAATAAGGTAAACACAAAAATACAGAGGGAAAAGGTAACTTACAGATTCAAGGTTGAAGGTGAGCAAGGAAGGAAGACTGCGAAGACTGCGAAATGATAAAAAAACAGTGGCAGAATTCTGATCCCACAAACTCAGATATGAGATTCTGTTCGGACTCTACTCTCTCTTCCTGCTCTTCCTCTCTAAGATTCCTTAACAAAAAGATTCAATTGAAAATGAAACCCTAATTTGCAAAAGAAGGAAGGGTTCCAAAAGTGAAAACTGAAGTGAAATGGAATGTGAAACAAATATAAGAAATTTGGAGAAGAGGGAGACAAAGGAAAAAGGTTTAATGTCCATGTAGGATGGGTTCAAAGTTGTCTTCCTTTTTATCAAAAGTTCACTAACATCTTATATTTTGCAAAAACGGTTCATCTTAGTCCTTTTTGCTTACGACAAAAAGTTGATAACGTGTTCACTTATTATTGACGTGGCACTGCCACATAATTTGAGGTGTACATTTTGAGAATAAAATTAAATGACGTGGAAATATTCAATGTTTGGTACATGCGCAGTTGATAACAGTTGAAAAACTGTTATTTTCATGCTTAAAATTGATACTAAAAGCAACCTTTCTACATAGAAACTAGCTTGAAATCAAGTTTTTCTTCATATTTTCAGAAATAAGAGAGCTGGACAGGTTTATGCTTGATTTCAGTGTTTTTGTGCAGGTTTTAAGGTGAATTTAGTGAAAGAAGTGAAGAAGGAGAGAGATGGAATCAGAAAAGACATCAAAAAGTGCAAAAGGAGAAGTCGCAAGTACCGCTCAGCGGAAGTTTACCGCTGAGCGGCACTCAGGAG